TAGTGTCTGACTCTAAGGTTAAATTCAAGATGAAGTGGTAGTTCTAACCTTCAAAGCCTATTTCTGAAAACCTATGAAATCATACTGGATAAAAACTAACATCTGAGGATTAGGCTGCTGTATGGTCAGTTTCAAACCACACAGAGAATGCCATCTACCACATGAATCCCTCTTTTGCCACCAGCTCACTGAACAGAACCTTATTCCAAGTTCCTATACTTTTTGAAGTCAGGTTAATTGTTACAAAGAGTATGGCCTTTTGTGAACCCTAAAAGGAAACCCAGCACAATAGCTTCCTTCAGATTTTCAAATAAAGTCTTCTCTATTCTGTATCACATTTGGAAAGATGTAAATGGTATTGGAGGGATTTATCTAACAGCTTCTGATGTTCCAATTTTGATCTTGCCAGCTACAACACTGCTTTTATTGTATGTTCTCTTTTATTCTAAGCCATTTTTACAGGCTAAACAAGATGGAAAAAGAATATATTGTATTTTGTGTTTGTTGTGGGGTTTTTGGGCTCTTTTGCTCTTGTCCTCTGAAGATGCCGGCCATAGAGACTGGCGAAACGTTAGGAAGAACAACTTTCAGAAAACGGCCAAAGAGCCCCAAAAACCCACAACAACCATTAGATCCCGGCCGTGAAAGCCTTCGCGAATACAATATAGTTTGTCTTAAGTAAATGCATCTGACAGGGAGGTACTTCATGATACAAATAAAAACAAAACACTTTACATAAACACATACAGTAGTTTTAAAATATGAACAGTATCACACAAATGGAAAATTAGCAATTTTTGAACATATTTGATAATTCATTTTTAAATCTGCACCCATGGGATTACTCTAATGCAATTTACTAAGCTGAGGAACCATATTTTGGCCATTGTGTCATGTGGCAGGTATACAGCATCAATACCATCCCAATACACCTGATCTGTTCTGGGCAGAGTTTGGTTGTTATACTCTAATGAGGAACAGCCACATAGTATCTAGGATCTACAGGTAGAAATAGCAAATAATAATACCCTGCACCCTGGATCTGAATTTCCCGTGACAACTGAAAATACCAGACTACTTGACTGATGGTCAAGTTTACAAGGTACCTCTTCTCTGGCTTGCTCCCTCCCATCAACTAGAAAATGAATCCAGCATTTCCCTGTCTTGTTTAGAGGGAACAAGCCCAAACTTGAGAAACTCCCTGTTTAGAAACAACACAATAAACTACCTGTATAATTAAGATTCTTGGTTTAACTGCTGCCATTGCAAGCAGAAGTAATCAAAAGACATGTAATCTGTTATAAAAATTAAGGGTTTCCAAAGATTCTTAGCTTGTCCTGTTACCTACTGCCTCCTAAACTACTCTCTCATCCTATTCCTCTCTTCAGGTATGATATACTCTGGATATCATACCTGAAGCACCACACAAATGCAAAATGTATAAACAGGGTAAATATGCTTAATGACAAGAAGATATGGTTCCTGTGCCTTTTAAAACTGTACAACAAATAGCAATGCATCTAACATAGCTTTTCTTAGCATACAGATGCAGGTCACCATAAAGCTCTGCCTGTCACACAGCTGTCCAAGTCACCTAACCTCTGCCAAGAAAATCCTAATGAATAAAATAATTCCAAAATGCACAGAAACATTTAGATGGCTTAATCATTTCATGTGTGTTGCTACAACTGAAGGAACTGGAATTAGAGCCACCCAAGAGAAACTAACTATGCTTGTCATCCCCAAAAACTTCTTAAACCACACATCAGCATGAAAAGCCCCATACCTGCTGGCAAGCCATCCATGGGAAGTGATAGAGTGGCCAACAGCAACATCATCCCAACCCACAGTTCACCTCAGTCACAAAGGGGGCCTTAAGCAAACCATTATATTACCTCATGTGCGGCACTGGGGATATTACACCCCAGGATTTGGGAGCCTTTGGCTCTCCCCGTTGTTGATGAACTACCCACTTCCATTCTCTCTCACCAGTATCTGAGCGAGGTGGGACTGAGAGGAAAACTGGACCCCAACGGTGTTCAAAGAGCCACAGGTTACCCCAGCCCTGGTTCCGGCACTGGCCTACCCTACAGGCTTGTGGTGCTGGTTGGGAAATAAAAACACGAAAAAGAAAAAAAAGAGAGAGCAGGAAGCCCTGTGGAACGACGCAGTGGGCGGCACTGCAAGGGCTACCTCCCGTGTGGAAAGGAACAAAGGAGGGCTCGGGTCCCGGTCTCTCCTGCCCAGGAAAGGAAAGCCGAGGATGACTATAAAAAGGGGGAGAAAGGCTCTCCCTCTCTCTCTCTCTCTCGCTCCCTCCACTCACTCTTATTGACCGACTTCAGCGCTCGCCCGAAGTCTCCATTCTGGCCGCAGCGATTCACTTCGCTCCACAAAGACGCCACGGAAGCAGCCCCGGCCGCCCCAGCCCCGCTTCCGCTGCCTGTGCCGGCCGCCATCTTGGCCGAGGTAGAGAAGTTGAGAGGGAAGACGTGAGACGCCGAGAGACCTTTCCACCCGGAAGTAGACGAGAGGCTGTCAGTCTCTAATAAACGATCGTCGTGTACACAAGTCCCCTCTCTATGATGCCGTCCGAAAGGCGAGGGAGAGGGGGGACAAAAATGCCTAAACTCTCGTTTCCGAGCAGGGTCTTTCTGTGACGCATGTGCGTCCACTTCATTGACGTAAAGGTTGATCCACGTATCCGTTTGGAAAGCTGGACAGTTTTGTCCGTTAATTGTAAATTAATGCAGTAATGCAGAGACAGCATGGTAGGTTTATTTGCATCTTGAACTGGTGTGTAAATGTAACACTGCACTTTCTGCTATAAAATATTCAGAAGTGGTTTTACAGCTAGCTTTTTCTGTGTAGTACTAACACGAGTTAGCTTGAAGATCGCTGCATTTGTCTAATACACTGAAAACATACTATTGTGAAATATAATAGAACTGACCCCCAGCCAAGGAGTACCAACCATTTCACAAAGGAAAGCAACTGCCGTCCAGGGAAAAAGAGAATCTATTTTACTGTAGCACATGATTGGAAGGATCAGAAAATGAATTTGCATCCATATATATGATAGCTAAGACTATTCCACTGTCTGTGCAGGGAATTTCAAAAAGAATGTTAGGGGTTTGAGAGCATAGATCTCTCTGTTATGCAGTAAAAGTTGTGTTTTCAAATCCCCAAGACAAAAAAGGTCTGGGGTTGTGTTTTCAAATCCCCAAGACAAAAAAAGGTCTGGTTTAAAATTTGAGATCCAAATAACTGCATATTCTTCAAACTCACTTGTAAACACTTGGTGGGGGGATTCTGAACCTGCAATACTGATGTAACTATCCTAGTCAATGGGCTTCAAGGTCTGAATCACATCATGTTAAATAGAATACAGTACTGTACACAGAATGCCTGCACTGCCTATGCTTTTGTATCTTTGTCCATTGATAGAAACATGTTAAAACAACTGCTTTGGTTTTTGATGCCAGCAACTGCAAGGTATAATCTAGCCCTGTGCCAACTTGGACAGAGTTCTTTCAGTAGAAGGGGATCACCATTTGTCTATGAAAGATGCTTTGCCGATGTTGCCTTCCATCACTACTTTAGCCCAGTAGCCACCATTCAATACTTTTTCTACCTCCGTTTGGACAAGGGTGAATTCTTTTCTCCTCATCAGTTCTTTTCTGTGAACATTAAATCCTGCATCTTAGGCTGGTTCTCACCTTTGAGAATTCAGCTTCAGGCAACTGCTACAAGTTTCAAATTGTTATTGTTTTCAGCTGCCCTGACACATTCAAATCCTCTCGCATTAGCCTGCGCATCTAATGAAATGCTGGGGGGGGGGAATTACATTATAGTCTTAGTTCTAGAAGATGCTAGTTCTACAATTAGACTTAGAAAAGGAAGGGCAACTATGAAAGATGTAGTGCTTGGAGACCAGAACAATGTTCATCTATACCATGGTCTTCCCAATTAATGTGTACAGGCAATGAAGAAAGTTGACAAGCAAACCAAACAAAACCAGGTTCATCCGAAAAATGTTGGAGGAGAGCTTTACAGTTGCTATGATCTACCAAAATGACAATAGGTGGAAGATTTATAGCCCACTTCTCTCTCTGGAAACTAAAATGGCTAAAGTGAGACTGTTGCACTTGAAGAGAAAATTAACTAGAAAAGACAGTAACGCTATGCAAAGAGGAAGGTAGTAGGCCAAGAGGAAGCCCTAAGGCAAGATGTACTGACTCAGTAAAGAAACTCATGGCCTTGAGTTTGGAAAATCTGAACAGGGCTAAATATTAAGATCTTTTAGAGGATCATAAAGTCACAAGCAACTTATCAATAACAGTAGAACTAGCATATGGTTGCAAAGATGTTTGAAGTCATGCAAGCAACTTTAGATTATTTATTTGTTTGTTTGTTTGTTTGTTTATTTGATTTGTACCCCGCCTATCTGGACTACCAGACCACTCTAGGCGGCTTCCAATACAAAATAAAGCAAAAAATACAATAAAAATACAAAAATGTGCATAATCATCGAATAACAATCACAATAAAATATAGAAAAGATAATATAAGGAAAATTAGGGGAAAAATTCAAGATAAGCGGTTATTTCCAGTAGAACCCCTTGAATGAACAGAACATGCATCATGTAAAACAGTGAAAATTGCAAAGCATGTCATGTTCAAGGAATAAGACATACTACTGTATCATCTTTAAACTGTCAGTCCATCATTCTGAGGCAAAGACAACTTAGTTGAGAGATCAGTTCAGTTTCATTTCCTTCTCAAAACTGTTTCCATTGAAATTTGTCACTATTAAAACCTTATACAGAAAAACTAATGTCTGGTATTCTTTTTGTGTTTTGTCTTACAGATCATAAGCTTGCACGCAGGTGTTACAGCATAAATTATAGCACTCTGAAACCACTGTTCTCTGCTGATTTTGAAAGCTAAGCAAGAGCAGGCCTGAACAGTAGTTGGATAAGAGACTACCTGGAACCTTGAGGTAAGGCTAGGAAAAAATTGTGTCTGAAATCCTTGAGACCACCCGTCAGAGTTGACAATACCTATGCTGGATAATCCACTAGTCTGCCTCAATAAAAGTCAGCTTCCTGTGTTTTGCTAGAAGCCTTTCTGGGGGATCAGTGAGATGAAAATTCTAATAATAAAAATATAAATAGCTGACAAACAATATTGGTTTAAAGCATGATTTTATTATTTTTTTAAAGGCTCATACACAGCCCTAGCTACATATAACTTTATAGCCATTTTAGACTACGTTAGCTGACACTATAGCCTTACTAGCCAAGCTATACATCTACCTGAGCCAATTTCATCATACCACCAGATGACAGGTAACTTACCAAGCCTGGATAATTAATTTCCTGCTCCTCAAACAAAACAAAAAAACTACTTCACGTACGATGTGGAATGAAACATGTTTTTGGTTTGTGATCAACAGAAATCCTAATTAAAAAGCCAGAACAATTTGATATTTAAATTTTTTATTGTTTTCTCATCAAAATTTCTCTTTGTAGAAGGATGACAATGCTTTTGAGTGCATATTACATGGAAAAAAGACATACCTCTCAAACGTCTAACCTGATAATTGGAGACAGCACTATGTCTAAAAATAAGTGTGATCGCCACTACAATGCTGACCATACAATTAATACACAGAAAACATACTAATATGAAATATAATAGAACTGACCCCTAGCCAAGAAGTACCAACCATTTCACAAAGGAAAGCAACAGCAGTACAGGGAAGAAGAGAATCTATTTTGCTATAGCACATGATTGGAAGGATCAGAAAATGAATTTGCATCCATATACTGTATATGATAGCTAAGACTATTCCACTGTCTGTGCAGGGAATTTCAAAAAGAATGTTAGGGGCTTGAGAGCATAGAACTCCATGTCATGCAGTAAAAGTTGTGCTTTCAAATCCCCAACTCACAAAAAAGTGTTCTGGTTTAAAATTTAAGTTGAGATCCAAATAACTGCATATTCTTCAAACTCACTTGTACTTAACACTCGGGGGGGGGGATTCTGAACCTGCAATACTGATGTAACTATCCTAGTCAATGGGCTTCAAGGTCTGAATCACATCATGTTAAATAGAATACACAGAATGCCTGCACTGCCTATGCTTTTGTATCTTTGTCCATTGATAGAAACATTATGTTAAAACACCTGCTTTGGTTTTTGATGCCAGCAGTTGCAAGGTATAATCCAGCCCTGTGCCAATTTGGACAGAGTTCTTTCAGTAGAAGGGGGATCAGCAAGGGGCTCCATTCATCTCTCTTCCCTCTTGCTCTCCAGACATTGCTTGAAATGGGAGACCATGCACAATTTTTTTATTCATCCATCTCTTCTCCACCTCTAAAAGATCCCAGAGATGGGCAAAGAGATATACAGATGCAGTGTGGACTGTACAATGCTTTTGGACCAGTCAGAGAGGCAAGAAATAAGGCTCAATTAAGCCATACCCACAGGTGAATGGATGATGCTTATGGTTTTATCAACTGTTTTGAAAAAAGGAAGTTTGTGATTTAATAAAGTAGTTAGACTTGGCTAGTTTGCATAAATACAGTTTAGGCGCAGACAGAGACATCTAGGTATTTTACTAAGGAGTCACCAGCAAAGCACCACTTCAAAATAATTATATCTACAAAATATGGAAGTTTATGGTTAAAGACAATTAAGAGGTATGCAACAAATATTAAATATTGCAAATTACATGTAATAGGTACTCTAAAAGAACTACAATTATGAGCGAACAATTAATACATTAATGGAAACATTGACAAAATCACTATAAAATCTTTACAGTCAAAGATTTGCCAGGTTGCCAAGGTTCAACTGTATACTAATCCAGTAAATGAGCTGTCAGTTAATTTATTACCTACAGTAAGTTTAAATCTTCTTTTGAAAAGCCTTTTTATACCACGTATAAAATAAATTAAGGGAAGCAGAAGTTCTCCTTTTATACTTTGCAAACAGAGTGGGTGTAGTCCACCATGCAGTTCTCCTGTGCAAGCCAGAGGCACAATGAAAGTGAGCTGAGCAGAGCCCTACTACTCATTTCCACGTAGCTTGTGAAGGAGAACGGTCCTGCTGAGTTGTGCCAGCAATCAGTAGTTTTATGGGTATTCCTTCATCCTCCCCTTTGGTAAAACATTTAAAAGGTGACAGAAAATATCAAAGCACAGAATACTTATAAATAGGAAGATTTCAAAATGGGCTTTCAGAAAAGGATTTTGAACGGCAGTTATCTTCTGCTCCCCGTTGAGAGACCACATTCCTCCTCTCTGACTCCACCAGCAACTAACAAAAACTTCCAACGTATTTGTACAATGAGCACAAGCTGTTAAAGTAGTTAAAACTCAGGAATCCCATTATTGTCAAAAGCCATCTCACCTCATGCCAATGGTATTACAATGTTTTCGGCTGTGTACAGGTATAAGCAGCATACTGATCAAGGTCTGAGTACACTTAAATTTAGCTTGTTGCATTTCCATACAACTTACATGTGACCACTTTTGCTAATAAGGGACAAAATATCCTGCTTTTAATGTCCCATTTATTTCAGAAAGGAGTGAGAGTTCTGGACACATCCTTAAATCTCCCACTGAAATCTGGAATGGGTCCCACACACAGTTTATGCACACTTAGATGGAAGTAAACCCCTTTCAACTGAGTGTGACTTATTGCCAAACAGACATGCCTGGGAAAGAGCTTCAAACACACTTACCTTCAACTGGATTGCACCCTTGATTTGTTGCCTATTTTGTTGCCCAATTGTACATTACAACTTAAAACTAACGCATGGTCAAAAGATCAGTTTTTATGTTTAGACAGAAATATGATATTCTTTTAAAAAGAAAAACAACCCCCAAAGGTATCATGTTTAAGCATTCTGGTTCTCACATAAAAGTAAAGCATTAAAACAAAACAGCATCAACATTTAAAAACATTTAAATCAAACATATTGCAAAAGTTGTATGTGAAAGGAGAGGAAAAGTGACTACAGAGTGTCCTACACCTAGGGTCCCTCTGTGGAAACAGTACATTCGCTTTATTGCCCGTTCTTTCTGTTATATGGATGGCCACTGAATGACATAAGATGCCGATAGTTCTCTTTCCAACTCTTTTCACCACTGCTGCCAGCTGAAGTCATCATTGCTACCGAAAACCAAGAAAAACCCTAGGATGGTAGCAAATATGACTGTATTTCCTGTGAGGACAAGTGCACAGGCTCCCCAGTAAATCTACAAGGGAAAGAAAAATGTTACATATACTGTACAAAGAAGCAAACAAACACAGATGTGTTACATTACGCATTGGGATGTATCCAAAAGAATGACGATGGATGGATGAATTTCAATCCATTCAGAGCAATTACATTGGATCCAATATAACTACTAGACTGTCATTTGCTCACCTCTGCCTTAAACAATTCTATGTGCTTTCAGAACATTCTCTGTGACTGTTTGCCATCTCTTCAGTTATACAAGAATAGGGCACCATTAGAGATGGGCATGAACCTGTTTGTCCCAGTTCGTAAAGGTGGCAGCAGAGGTGCTGCAGCTCCCCTCCCCGCCTCAAACAGTCACACATGAGGCTCAGCACTTTCGTTTTTTCCACCACCTCAACTGATCTTCCAGTTCCAGCAACAGCTCAGGCTTCTCTGCCCCACTCTCTTGGCTGATCTCCCACTCAGACAAAAGGGTATGGCAGAAAAGTCTGTGCTCTTCCTCGTAACTGGGAGATTAGCCAAGGAGATGTTAAAAACAAGCAAACTGGGCCTGGTGACTGGCTGTTTGAGCCAGAGGAGGTGGGGAGGAGACCAGCAGCATCTCTGCTGCTGCCTTTATGGACTGGGCAAACTGGTTCATGCCCATCTCTAGTCACTATTTTGCAATTGGCAAAATATCCAAAGACTCATGTCTACATCGAAATAAGTCTGGATCTCCCAAACAAAGATCATATAGTAAAGATGACATTTAATTAATTTTGAGTGATCAAGAAGCATCTCACTGTACCCTAAGGCAGGGGTGTCCAACCTCCGGTCCATAGCCCAGTATCAGGCCATGGCCTTGGCAGGACTGGGCCACAGACACACATCTCCGCCCCCCCCCGTACACACTCCCCCTATAATAAATGATTTATTTAACACTATTTGGTAAATTTTTGACATTTGAAGCAAAACTCCGAGCCTATTAAGGTGGGGACTTTCAGCTTTTAGGAGAGGCATTTAGAAACATTACATGGTCTGAAGTACTATAGATGGCCTTAGATACTTCTAAAGGGCAGAGGAATATCTGTCTGTGTACCTCCTGGTCCTCTGTTCTGCTTAGACAACAGATCAGGAAGCTACTTTAGAGCAGCATCAATCATGGGACACTTGTCATGCTGGAAGTTATCATGCCACAGCGAACATGGTCGACTCTGCTTGGACTAACCATGGTCTCAGCAACAGCAGAGTAGACTTGAATCTGGGACGCACATTCAGTTCAAACTGAGTGTCAGTTACTGTGAAAAAATGCTCAGCTCAAGTCTTCCCTACTGGCTCTCTATACGAATGGCAAGAATTCCCTTGAATCTTCTGCAGCAACCGAAGAGGTTCCAGACTAGTGTCTGTTTCCACAAGGATGAACAACAAATAATCTGAAGTCAGCCCTGTGAGCTTTTCAAATCAAACAAGATGTCCACCACTCCTCTTTCAGCAACTCTCGTTTTTCATGTATAAATGGAATATCATGGTGTGAGTGGAATCTAAAGAAATACTAACCAGCTGTGCTCTAGCAAATACAATCGGAAGCCCAAATGCTGAGACAACAATGCCTGTCGTTAGAAATATAGCAAGTTCTTTGCAGGCGTTGCTTGTAGCATCTGTGTCTTCAACTACTCTTCTTGCTATGCAGTATGGAATTGGAGAGAGGGTGTAGAAGAAAAGAACAAACAAGGGCCAGTATTGGCTAGGAGCAAAGAAAGAAAAGTTAATTGTCTATTTGCAAAATAACATTCTTCCTTTATTATTGTGATTATTATCCATTCCATTTCTTGGATGAGTTTTTCCTAAAAAGGCTCTGACAGCCTGACAGATAAAATATTCTCCTTACTTACAAATATATTTACATAACATTTTCATCTGCAATCCTTTTCCTATTCATTCACTGTGAAAGTGCACACTATAGTCCCTATTTCATGTCTGATGTTGTTTTGTTGTTGTTTGTTTTGTTCTATTGTTTTTGCCTAGCTCTAAGTAATGTTCCCCAGTTTAACTCTTAACTGCAGAATTAGATGTCATAATAACCTTTTCCCTTTAAAACAAATTTTTTTGAAGAAAAAATATTGGTGAAGCCTGCTTTAGAAACAAACTGTCAACTGTGGTATCATCACCTTATTGAAAACAAATAAACAACTATTCTTCTAGGACTGACTAACTGAAGAAAGAAGGACTAAAATGCCATATATCCAATTACTTTAATTTAGTGAGGCTGTGGATTCCAACCCATGAACTATGCAAGATAGCAAAATGAAGCTCTGGTTAACTAACTCATTTTATTTTCCTTTACAGCAAATGACTTTCTTTTCCTTTCTTTGTGCCTTAACAGGTCCCTAGTTCCTGGCCACAATCAGGGTTTGTTTTGTTTATTTTAATTCATTAGCTTCGGGCAAAAGAATAGAAATTCAAAATGAACTAAAATGGCATCTAAACAATATGTGTAAAAAATATACGCACTTATACTGTGGAAGGGCACAACCAAGCATGAGAAACATTAGTCCAACAGCTCCTCCAAAGGACAAGCTAATCAAAGCTGGAAAAAAAAGTACATAAAACCATATCATTACTTCAAAATAGTAGATTATTTTCTCCCTCTGCAGACAGAATCGAGACCAAAGAATGGTTTCTGTTCTCACCCAGTCTTGCAATTCAACCATATTGAGTAAAAATATCTATAGAATAGTCCAGTTTTTAGCAACAGTGACTTAAATTGACGGATGGAAGCAGAAAATACAAAATACAGTAGTGTAACATGTCCTCCCCCTGTTGTACCTTAAGGGTCACACTGAAACAAGCTATAGAGTGATTTAGTAACTAAGACGTTGGCTGGATAGCTCAGTGAGTTAGATATCTAGCTGCAGAGCCAGAGGTTTGGAGGTTAATTCTCCACTATGCCCCCAGAGAGAACAGCCAGTCTGTACTGCCTTGGGCAAGCTGCACAATCCCAGGATGCCCCCAGAAAAAAGAATGGTAAACCACTTCAGTGTATTCTCAAACCAGAAAACCATGAAAAGGGTTGCCGTAAGTTGGAATCAACTTGATCGCATGTGCTCAAACACACACAGGCAGCCATCTAATTACACAACATATGTACTGTTGACTACAGCACAGAACAAACTACGGAAGTTCATTTATCTCCTCTTTCCCACTAATTCATCGTAGATATTAGTCCAGTGCTTTTTACATTCCAGTAGGTTTTTAAGGACAGTCCTCACATTGTTGTTATTTTTTAAATGAAAACAATTTTTATGTAGCCTCCTCCTCACTGGCAAAGCTTCACAAGCAACAAGAGATAGGAATCCACTCATTCTATTATGGTTTTGCTTGGAAGCATCTTCAGCTCCTGCCTATGTGCCACCTTTATCTTTAGCCTTTCTCCAACTGGCCAACTATCCTTCGAAATAAACACATGCTCCACCATGTGTGTGTAGTTATATGATAAATGTTATGACACAATTTAACATGAGCAAAAAGGCAGATATGCATGTAATAAAACAGTATGTTCTCCTATTAAACACACAGAAGCCTTCTCTACATCTGGTTACTTCAACATGACATTCAGGAAATGAAGGATAATCTAAAAAGAGCCGTAAAGAGAGTATATGTGCTGTATACACCTATGCATGTTTACTCAGCAGTAAACCTACAGTTTGCAACATTACTAATCAGGTGCAGGAATATGAGCAAGCAGGTTTATTCTATTAAGAGCTGTTCCAGACTGGAGTCCCATTCATTCCAATGTGTTCAAGTCCACCCCACCCACCCCAGTATCCACACTAAAGCAGCCAGTCCTTAAAAGGCCACAAGTCTCCAATGAGATCAGCAACACTCCCTTCTATAACCATGCACAGAACTGCAGCCCAAAGGTTCATCTCTGGATTTCTTTTTGTTTCCAATACGTGCTGCCACCCCCAGCCAGGTTGTGTCTTGGAAAGCTAACAGGCAGGGCATAAAGGTAGCAGCTCTATCCCATCATCTAGTTCAGCAGATACACGATCTCTGCACATGGAGGTTCTACTGAACCAGCATGGCTAATAAGCATTTACAAAAGGAGCACATCGTTTTTTTAAAAAGCTCTCCAGAGTTGATGGAAACCTATCAAAATGCAACCACACCGATGGGGCCTGGGTGCCTCCGGAACATTGCTCGCAACCCCACCCGTCGTTCTCCAGCCTCTGCCAAGAACCTCATAAAAAAGGGGGAATTTCGAGGAGGGCCAGGACCCGCTTCTATGGCTTGAATAAAAGGGGGGGGGAAAAGAGAGAGAGGAAACAATAGGACACTCCCAGCCTGCGCGCTTCTCTGGCCAAGCAGCGCATCATCACAGCCAGGCTCCCGTTGCTATGGTAACAAAGCGGGGGGCCCCCGAACATCGTAGGGTACGTCATCCTCAGGGTGGACTAGCGGCGGCCCTCCCCGAGATCAGCGGCCTGGCCTGGTAGACACCCCCCCTCACATCCTCCCCCCGTCCATTTCTTCCTCCCTCCGCAACCCACCCTCGGAAAACCGCCAGAGGAAGGCTACCTTTGATGCCGGCCATGATGCTGCTATTATTGTCCCACAGGCCGCTCCCAGCCAACCACAAAGTGGAAGGAAACGGGGGGCCAGAGAAGCGCCGGAAATGGTCGCTCCAAGAAGCGACAAAACTTCCGCCGAGGAGGAGGAGGAGGCGGAGGAGGTCGCTGGGAGCATAGAGTTCCTCCCTAGACTGGTGGCAATGGGCAGGCAACGTTTATTATTTATTTAATTACAGTTTGTTTACCCCGCCTTTCTCCTAGACCAGGGCTCAAGGCGGCTCACAACAATGAAAGACAATATTTAAAGTTGCAAACAATGTGTATACAACGGCGGTGGACGGCATTAAAAGACAATATATATTACGAACTGAATGAACTCTTAAGAGGCCCCCTCCCTTTTCTCGGGGTGGAAATAAGAAAGACCCACAAATACCATAAAAGCGAGAAAGATTCGTTCAATATTTAAAGTTGCAAACAATGAGTATACGACGGCGGTGGACGGCATTAAAAGACAATACAAATTACGAACAATGAATGAACTCTTAAGAGGCCCCTTCCCTTTTCTCGGGGTGGAAATAAGACCCACAAATACCATGAAAGCGAGAAAGGTTCGTTGCAGAACTACAGCTTCCAGAATCCTCCAGGCCACTGCGGAGTCTGGGAGCTGTAGTCCAAAACATGGCATGCCTTTGCTGGAAATTACGGGAGAAATTCGGAATTTTCGGGCACCTGTAATTGGACACATTGTTTGTTCCAAACAGAAGCAAAAAGGAGCAGTTAAGTTCGAAGTGCCTTGACTTTCGTGGAGCAGATGGACGCTGGCTAGGCATCCCCGAGGCAGCCGCCGATTAGTCAGTGTGGAACGCAGAGACGGACCGTTACATATAACATTTCGTTCGAAATCCAGTCTGACTCCTCAGTGCTTCACCTTTTATGACATCAGCAGCATCAACTTTTTCTAGCTTCTCTGTCAGGAGATTCCCGTCGCTAGAGATCCTTTGGTTGGTAGTATAGAAAGGCTAAAGTGGTATACCAGGTTTCACCCATAACTTTTAATAAGGCAGAAATAAGCACTAATGCAGTGACTCCCACCGAACCTGTGCCCGCAGGGGTTCAAACCAGGGCATTTATGGATACTCAGAAAAAGGAAAGAAAAATGGCGGGAAAAGGCACATATGTCAACAGTGTGTGCCACTTATTTATATCCTGAAGCAATGAGAATTCCCTTGCCTTCTTCCTTCTCTCCCCACATGAAAGTTGCTCCATTTTTGTTCAGCCACTTATTCAGGGGCTTGTGCCATTGCTCCTTTCCTGTCCACAGCAGTTTGTACATGGACAAAATTCCTTACAGATTTTAACAGCAAAAAACAAAGCATGTTTCTTATACACTGCCCCGTGGTGCTTAAAGCATTCTTTGGCCGATACACTGCCCCATGGTGCTTAAAGCATTCTTTGGCCGGGTTTGCAATTTAATTATGCAAGTTACACATTGCATGCACATTGATGGCAGGCTTGAGTGAACCTTTAGCCAGCTTCCTGGGATTGAACCTGGGTCATGAGCAGAGTTTTGGCTGCAGTACTGCAGTTTAACTACTGCTCCGTGAGGTTCCTTGGCTGGCACACACTACCAAAGGCAATGAGGAAGCAGCCTGAAGACAAGAGGGTGGAGAGTCTCCCTTGCTCCACCCCCTAATATAAAGGGTACAGTTTATGGAAATAGGCAGCCAAGGGGTGCCTAAGTGAAGGAAAGGCTGGGAACCACTGTCCTAATGTATTACAATCAATTAAGCTACCAGTTTAGTTGGGTATTTTCTAATAGATGCTTCCAAAGTGTGGAGGGGATGGATGCAGGCTAGGCATTCTGTTGGAAATCTAATTAGGGTTTAACTTGAGGTTTGCTTGTTTGTTTTTCTGCAGCAGTGCTTATCTTGTGATAATTTAGGGTACAATCCTAACAACCTAGTCCAGTCGTGTCCGACTCTAGGGG